AAAATTAAAAGAGCAATATGATCCAACCAATTCCCACTTTCTACCCTATTTACTTGGCTTTTTAGAAGCTGATAACATCGCTTTCCTACAAGCAACTATCACAGTAAAATATCTGAATGTTTTTCCTAACCACAAACAAATTGTAGATGTGTTAGAAAAAGAAAAACAATTGCGAGGTAAATTAAAAAAAAAGAAAGTCCAAATTGAGAACTTAATAAAAGAGGTATCAGATGTTCCAATAACACAAAATATATTCTTAGAAGAAAAGAGTAAAACTTTATCTAATAAAGAAATTCAAGCATTAATGTTAGTATATTATGAAAATAAGTATAAAATCGATAGCCTTAATCGGAAAATAACTCGCCTAAAAGGACATATAGAAAAGCTAGATAGCCAGTTGCAAGAAAATAACACGAATGTCGATGAAAGTAATTTGTTAGAAAAAAGTATTGAAGACACAATAGAGTCTGCTCAGCTTGGTTCCATGATTCTAATTTCTACAAAACATTATCTTTCATTAGTACTTACAAAACCCTGCCCTAATTGCAATAACAATAACCTTACTGATAAATTTTGAAATATAACATCAACTGGATTTCAAATTAAAAGTACAATAGAGTGCAAAATATGTGGAACTAGTTTTTACCATACTAATGAAGCACAAGAAATCTGGTTTACAAAAGCAATAGCAGCGACAGGACTTGTAGAAGAAATATCTCGTAATACACTACAAAGCTCATTAGCCACAATCAGAATTACGAACAAAATATGTAAAAGTACATACCATCATTATCAAAAAATGTACTTCTCCTCTCTTATAGCCAGTGCAAAATCTAGCACAGCGATGGCTTTACAAAAATGCATTGAATATGCATTAGAGAAGAATGAAAAAGTTTTAGCAGTAGGATTCGACTGTTCATAGTTGCATGTAAGAAACGCAAATAAAGCGAGTGGAGAATTTATATGTCAGACAACACCATCTGGTATAATAATTTATTTTTAGATTCGTAATTGATCTCGAATTAATATTTATTTTTTAATGATTAGGTTACTCCCATAAACTAGTTGTTGCATTTCATATAATACAAAAAGCTAGGGTTGCAAAAAATAACCAAACTGGACTTACCAAAACCCTAAATGAAGGCAACTTCGATAAATCCTTGAGGCAAATGGAGCATGCCATTTTGATCGAGGTATTAAATCAAATTAGCACACCACTAGAAGAAACCAATTTACAATTAGAAGTGTATATTGATGGTGATCTAGATTCAAATAAGACACTTGCACACATACCTATTGTAACAAAAGTTTTTGCCGATCTGAAACACCTAACTCACAATATTAGAAACACTATACAACGTAAATATAAAAAAATTTTTTGTATCAAAGTATATATCATTAATTATAATAAATGTTTTTGGTACTTTTTTTATTAGATGATAAAAACATCCAATTTCGTGCATTTGAAAATCATATAATGCACTGGTTTTGTGGGTGTATTTATTCTGCAGCATTGCGAAAAGAGGCTGAAGATGATTCTCTTAAAGTACCATCTGAAGTAAATATGCATAAGATGCAAGTGAAAGGTCTTATTCGCTATCTACAAAATGAATATTCGCTTTGTTGGCCAGATGTATATTGGATAAAAGATGATCCAACAATAATTTTACAAGAACCCACCTTGTGTCACTCATCCCAAAGCCGAATCGACACATTCAAAAAATTTCTTAAATCGATTTGTCGCTTACCTGTTGGCCAAAGAATTGTAACACTTAATCAAACATCTCAAAATGAGGCGTTCAACAGAATAAAGTTAATGTATCTAAATAAAAAAATTGACTATTGGCAGTCATATGCATCCTGGCATGCATTAGCAGTTATATATTATAATGATGGTTATACCTATCTACTTTCTGAAATTCAGGAGATTTACTGTGATAAGCCATTTGAATTAGAGGACGTGCTCAATATTAGTATGATAGAGAGTAATCATTCTGCTCAACGATAATTGAATGTGGAAAAAATTTGTTAACATAATCAAATGTGGGCTAAAAAATATGCAAATGAACATAAAGAATTAGCAGGTTTTGATTTTAGTCAGGTAATTAAAATTAATATTATAATTTGAAAAGCTTCAATACTTACTTATTAATAATAATTCGATGTACAGGAATTAGTACCCTATAAATTGAAGGCCCAAAAACGGCTTCACAATAATGAATTTTATCTATCTTTTGCCTCATTGATTGTGAACTTTGATGTAACTATAAGATGTATTGGCTGTCATGTTTTTTAAAATCATTTCAAAGGTCTATGTGCATTGTGCTATACATATCACTTATTCGGTTGGAATGAAAGATTTTTGGATTCGAATATCGCTCTATAAGACAAAACAAGCAAAATTCAGGATTTAACTCAACAGGTTAAAGTAATTGCAAAAACAATTTTCAAATTTAATCATTTGAGAGCAGGACAATTAGAAGCAATAACATATTATTTGGAAAATAATAAAGATACACTTGTAGTCATGAAAACCAGTAGCGGAAAATCCTTCTGTTATGTGGTTCCTGCTATTCTTTTTTATGACCTGACGATTGTTATTTCATCATTAAAATCTTTAATTCAGAGTCAAGTGATATATATAAAATCAAATTAAAAATTCGAATAAAATAATAAGTTCTAATAAATTTTTTTATCTTTAGAACCATCTAATCCAATTAGGAATCCTGTGTGGTTACTTGTTAGCATCGTCTTAAGGAACAATTGAGTATAAAGCAAAAATTTTTGAGAAAATAGCTCTTGGATTCATCCGTTTGCTTTACGTTATCCCAGAGAAGCTATTATTTAAAAAATCACTTAGAGAATTATGTAATCACTTATATAAAAAAGAAAAGCTGCAATTTGTGATTGATGAAGTTCATTGTGTTTTGGATTTTCGTCACTTTAGGTAAGAAGAGTTTAAATACAAGTTAAAGAACTGCTAATTAAAAACCGAATTAATATAAAAAATAAATATTATTTGATAGAGAACAATGGGACAACTTAGAAGTATTAAAACAAAATTTTCCTCGTGTTCGAATCATGACTCTTTCTGTAACCTTATCTCATGATAACAAAAAGACTCTTCAGGAAAATTTAAATATTGATATGGATTACTTCAAAGTCATAAGAAGCAATGCCCTATTGCATCCGGAATTATGTTTTTCAGTTCAAGACGAAATGATACTAAATCGGCTTGGATAGAACAAATAATTGGTTTGGTCAATAAAATAGAACAAACTGGTCACACAATAATCTATTGTGCATGGGTCAAGGACTGTTCTGTAATATTTAAAGTGCTAAATTCAAAAATAAAATCATTAGCTATATACAATGATCAATTATTAGATAGTAATAAGAAGGATGTGATAAAAAGATGAAATACTGACTAGATCCGTTTAATGATTACAACGTCAACCTTCAGTATGGGTATAGATATGCCTGATGTTTCTCTAATAATACATTATAATTTTCCAATGAATATGAGTAAGTATACGGTATGCTATTTAAGAATATAAAAATTTATTACAAAATAATAATATTCAGTTTTCATAAATAGCTCGCCTAATTCAAGAGTCGGGTCGGGCAGGAAGAAATAAGCAAATCTCAAAATGTGTAATCCTTTATTCTAATAAGGATATTCATACTAATTATACTATTATTACAGATAGTAGAGAAAAATAAATATTATAATTATTATTTGTGTTGAGAATTTCACTAAATAACTCAATTATAGTAACAAAGATAGTGATGAGCAAACAACTGCCCGAGAACTTTATCTGGCCAAAGTGCGACACAATTTATTTAAAGTAAAGTACTATTATCTTACCTCTTATGAATGCCGATTTCAGCTAGTATCATAATACTTTGCATGGCCACAAGATCTAATTCCACCAAATTGCAATTCGTGTGATAATTGCGTCAAATGTGAAAAAGATGGTGTAAAACTAATAAATGCTCTAACAGACATCTTGGATCTATTAAATGTAATTGAGATATTATGTAAAAACAACGATAAATTAATTATTCCTTTGGATGTTATGGAAGTTTTTTGCTGCTCAAAAAATAAACAGCTTCAAAGTAAAAGGTTAGAAATATTAGATCTTTTCAATCGCGAAAAACCGACAGTGTTACGCACTAAGGCATTAGCAGAACTAGCATTAGCAGATTTGGTTCATCGCAAGCTTGTCAAACAAACTATTTTATTAGAAAGAAAGGCTGGTACGCCTTACCAAACATGTAACATAGTAATTGAAGGGGTAATAGAGGGTGCGGATTCACTTGCAAAAACGAAAACTTGGCAATATTGGATAAAATAATAGAAAGTTCTCATTTATTATAAATTCTTAAGTTGATTTTACATAATATTAATAGTATAGACTCTATTTTACATGCTCTTTTGTAACTGCGTATGTATAGTACGGTTTAGTAATAAAGAGAGAATCGATCATGATACGTAGAACTGATTATCGTTTTATTAGTTCTATTATCATAGAACTTTCTAGATTTAGCCGAATTTCCCGATTTTTCATATGCGTTACACAAAAAAAAATGGACACCGATTTCATATGAGAAATGATCTACATGTACTCTACCCTTAAAGCCAATTAAAAGGAACTTCTGTCATGCGCGTTCGCGTTTCAATCAAAATTACATATAAAAAAAAAATTTACATTTATTTATTATAATAAAAGATTGGTACATAATTAATAAGTTTTTACGTCTGTATGGTTTTATTTATTACAGTAAAAATAAACTCGTCCATCCAATATTTTAAAATTTTATGTATCTAAATTTTATGTACGATAATCGTATAAATAATATATATATTGCTAACTAAGAGAATTGTTTCATATGACAATGCAAAAAAACTTTTTTTTTTTAATTATTAAATGAATAATGTGATATGTATACAAAAATGAATGGTAATTAGAATTTAACCCCAGTTGTTTACAAACAATTTAATACAAAATTTCTTTTTCGTCAACCCCAAGTGCCTTCATCACTTGATCCAAATGCTCTTCTACAGTCATACCCGTAACAATACCAGTTCCACCACTCTCAACCCCTCCAACATAATCGTAATTATTATTATTCCCATTATCTAAACTAACACCTCCCAATCCTTTTGTCATCTCTCCAAGCAATTTGGGTAAAGGTATATCATTGGCAAAATATATACTTGTGCTAGGCATAAAATTTTCGAGTAACTTTCCCCGTGGCATCACACCAGGCACATGCAATGGACTTGGAAAACTGGTATCATAATAATCATCTAAATGACTATACCTAGAACCTGATTTGACCAATGAATTGTCATTCAAATCAACATTATCATTATTTTTTTCAGGTTCCAGTGGAATAGCCTGTGAATAGATATCTTCATCCTCATCATCTTCTTCATTATAATAATAATTAAAGTGATCATCTAGATTTTCGTCACGTAATCCATCTACCACTTGCCATAAAAATGATCCATCACTCATTTCTAGAACTTCAACATGTTGATCTAATAATTCACCATTTCCATCAATTGAAACTACTGTATCTTTTACATTCTCACCATTCATATTGTTTGGAATGATATCTTCATCTCCAAATTCTCGATCTTTAATAGTATTCCATTGTATAGGATCTACGGTATCCGTATCTCGTTTGTATCTTTTTGATCCGTTTTCTTCTTCTCCTTCATCATCGGCAGATTCATGGTCCGAATAATCATAACAATCATATAAACTTTCCCCATAACCACTATAATTACTTTTTGCACCAATACTTTTTCGATATTTACTATTTGAAGAATAAGTACTACTTTTACTTGTTCTCTTTGAAGAAATACTTTGTCGATGAGGAGCTGGAATTGGTGGTATAGGAATTCCATATGGTGCATTAATTACACTATCTCGCGTATTAGGTGATGGAATCGGCGTTGGTGATCGGTATAATGAACTTCGTTCAGGAATTGGTATGGCTAAATTGTTTGTGTCACTCGTATCATCTGTATTTATTGAACTTTGTTGTGACAATCTTTCAGCCTTTTCTTTATTATTCTCATCATCTAAATTATTATCTTTACCTCGTTTAGACAAGAACCATTTTCGTCCATCAGAAGCAAGATGTATAATCTTCTTTTTGGTTAACCTACGATTTACTAATGAGACAAATTTAACACTTCCGGGTGATGGTGGTGTAGATGAATTAGTTCCAGGTGATAAATCTTCTGGCAATGGTGGTAAAAATGGTTTAGTTATTATTATAGTTCTTCTTATAACTTTGCTCTTTGAGTTTTTTGAATCATCCTCATTTTCATTAGTAGGTGATGGATATGTCATAGGAACTTGTAAATAATCACTATTTTTACTAGTCCTACTAGTCCTACTACTACGACTACTTCTATTACTATTATAATTGTTAAATATTGACATGAATTTAGAAGAAGTTCCTGAATCCCTAGAGTCTTGTTTGTCATCACTACCAGAACTACGATTACTTCCAGTACTATCATTTCGTTTAACTAACATTTTTTTCTGAAGTCTCTTTTCATAACTCGAATTTCTTAGTGGATTTCTTGGAGATATCGGTGGTGGAGAGCCCCTTCCAGATGGTGCATCACTAAATGGTGATATCAAGCTAACAGGACTATAAGGTGAAGGTGGTGGACTGCTTGGTATACTTTCAGGTTCATTCGTTAATGATTTATTATTATTATTATTATTTTCTGGTTGTACTGGTTGCACTGATGGTGATGTTTGCGAATTTGTATCTGAATTTGGTATATCCAATACAAGTTTTGGTGTAATCACTTCTTGTTCATCATTAGTTGTAATCGTATCTTGTGCGCTTCCTATTATATTGTCTTTAGATGATTTCTTATCTAATGATGATGATATAGATTCTGTACGAACTAATTGTGAACTATGATTTGATGAGGTAGATTGTTCCCTTTTATTACTTGAATATTGAGATATCATTTCGGCATGACGTTTCAATGCATCAATATCATATAATGGAGGTTTTTTTGGTTCATTACTTCTAGGAATTATAGGTTCTTCGATAATATCAGAATCACTTCCAGGATACCTATTATATGAATTTTCCAATGTAATATTTTCATCTGAAGAAGTCGTGAAATTTTGTACGGAATTATTAATACTACTATGATTCATATCATATTCTGATATAATTTGTTCTCTTTCATTCATAACATGTGCGAAATTATTACGAATTTCTTGTCTTAAAGCTTCATTTGGCCTATTCTCTCTAGTACTATATGCCCGCCTTTTTCCAAGATCAAAACCTTTCTTTTCAGCATTATTAAATCTTTGATTTAAATTTTCTTCACTAATAAACTTTCTTGGTAAATTATCTGTAGGAAAGTTTTGTGATGTTGATGTACCATGTTTTTGTTTTTTACCACCAAATAAACCAGATTTATTTGTTTCATTATCACTTATAAATACATCTTTTATCTTTTTTAATGACTTTCCAAGGCCGGTATCAGTCTCACGTAAAGAAAATTTTCTTCGAAACTTTGCATTTTTTCCTTCATCATCATTCCCAAGGGTTACAATAGGGACAGCTTTTACATTTGAAGAAGTTGATACCAATTGTGGACCTGATATTGATTTTATAGTATTATTCTTTGATTTTGTCCACTTACGTGGTAAGTTATGTGAGTTTAAATTTTCATTAGCATTTTGTACTCTTCTCATTATCATAACTTGATGAGCAATATCACTTTGTCCTGATGCAATTAAAGTATCAGTAAGTGATAATGGAGGAGGTTGTGGTTTTGGAGGAGCAGCTGATCGTAATGTACGTTTTACAGGTAATTGAGGTGAGACATCAGTTGTTTGAGAAGCATTTGAAACTTTTCCTCCAAGTTGTATCATAATTGGTTTTGCATAATTACCATCTGTATAAAGTGGAGCAGCTTGTTGTTTTGCATAACCAATCCGTACGTTAACATCATTAGGAAGTTGATCAGATTTATCATCGCCTAATTTATATTGATCAGAAGTAATATGATGATTTGAATAGGTACTAGTAACACTATTAGTATGTTGAGATGATTGTACTAATTTATTTGAATCACGATCAGAAAAAGAATTAATCGATGATAAAGAATTAGGATGAGTTAACTGCTTAGAAATCATATGAGTAAGTTTATTATTTAAAGGATCTCCTTGTAATTCTTCATCATTTCCATAATCGTTATAATCAGAATGATAAATTGAAGTGGTAGAAGTGGTAGAAGTGGTAGAAGGAACGTATATAGTGTTTGAATCGGAATAATGATAATTATTTGAAGCATCAGTTGTTGAAGATTCTCTTGATAATAATAATGAACCTTGAAGTGGAGAAATTTCATTTTCAGGACTGCTGAAAGGAGTAGCTAAAGATTTTCCAGAAGAAGATTGAGAAAGACGTAAAAGGCCATCAGATAATCTATCTAGTGGAGAACGAGAAAGAGAATGAATATCATTATCATCATCAGATAGATTAAAAGAGTTAAAAGTAGGAGAACGTTGTTTTGGAGAAAAGGTAGATATCACGGGAGCAAGACTTTGAAAAGAATCTCTAGAAATCAAATCAGAATGGGAGTTGTCGGAGGAATTTGTGGGAAGAGTATTGGTAAGATTTTTATTAGATAATTTTATTGGAGATAATGAGGGTGGACGTGTTCTTGGGGGACGGGGACGATCTTTTGTCGGATTCTCTAAAATACCCGATCGCCTCTTTGTATCTTTAACATTGTTTACATTTTGTTCATTAAAATCTTTCATAATTTTTTGATCATTCGACGTAGAAATAGCATTTAATGGCTCAACCATTATATCTTGAGAATCATCAATATGGATATTATTATTTACATTTGGATAAGATAAATTATCTGTAGTATTTTTAATATTAGAAGGATTATGAATAGACCCTTGTTGAATAGGGAATCCACCAGTGACATTTGTACCATAAAATTTTCTAGCATTAGACATTTCTTGATTCGCGTCATTTGTAATTATAGGGGAAGTTGGTAATGGTGTTTGTACAGAATTTGGAGAAGTAGAATAAATTGAAAAATCGTGAATTGATTCATCTTCACGTAACTCTACGAGATTATTTAACGGTGAGCGCGCTTTATAAAAAAAAACCAAAAAAAAAGTTAATATTGAGAATAATAAGAATAAATAGATGCATTAACGTTATTGAGACATATAATAAACCTGATTTTGTTTGTAGTTGAGAACTATGTATGTTATAAATTTTTGAATTATCAGATACTTGTACTTCAGTTGAGTCATTTTCCTTCTCGGTAGTGTCAAGGGTGACATCACCTCTTCGTAACACACTAAAACGCTTAGTTAGTGTTGGCATGATGAGGGAAGATCGGGAGAGGGTTGGAAGTGAGGGGATTATATCATTAGTGGTCTGTTTCGAAAGGGAATTCTCGTCTTCCGACTGTTTTCTCAATTCAGTCTTTTTAAGGAAACGATGCATTTTGAGTTTTATGAGTGTTATCGTGTGTATAAAAAAGGTTTAAAGAAATGACTAAAATGATTGTAAGCTTATATTTAATATATATTTTCACTATTATTTTTACAGAAAAAGAATGTCAAATGGCTTTGAGGAAAAGACCTCCTAACAGTAGTCTGTTGAAAGTACGTAGATGAAAATGTTACCCACACAGCACGCGCACATTGTACATAATATATCTGAAACTATTCATATACGCATATACTTTGTATTTATTATGTGTAATCTGTGTGAACTTTACAATCACGTTATTTCAGGAGTCTAAATTGAGAATAACTATGTACAGTGCATACATTTAAATTTAAATATTAAATGCGCGGTAAAAAAAATCAATTAACCTCTAACTTTACTAAGATAAAATGAAACCAATCATAACAAGCCAAAAAATTCAATTATTAAAAGTAAACCATCACTTATAAACTTTAGTGACAATTAATTTTGATTTGTTAGGAATGTAATTACAACCCCAAATTTAGAAATCTTTGTAATAATTGGATATTGTGTACTATATAAAGGCACGTATAAAAATTACGACTTTTATTTTGTTTTTCTTTTTTGAATTGAATTTTTATTTACAATATCCATAGTATTTGTTTTTTAAGATTTTGTGTGATAATTATAACTAATATGTATTACTATACTTTTTTTTTATTTGAATATATTAAAAATATTGGCAAACATAGGAAAAGTTCGATTTCAATGATTGATCAAATTTACTCACGTGAAATTCGTCAAAAGAAATATTGATTTTAAATAGTTGTTTCTTAGAGGTTGTCCGATAAGCTGTAGAATCGATATTTAACTGTGGTCACGAAGCAAATGCTGTTGAAATCCACTGGCATAGGTCAAGATGTGTAATGACGCAAGTTGCATAACCCCGGAATAAATAAAATACTTTTACTGTAAGGGGTGTGCAAAATATACTTTTCGGAAAACCCGGACAAGTCCCAAATCCAATAGAATAATTTCAAAATTTGCAAAATATATATAAATATATACTATTTGTTTGATTTTTTGAGATATTTGATTTTGCCAGAATTTGGACTTAATTTATAGTGGTTTTGAGAAAGAATAATGCTAGATGGCATGTATGGATTCTGTACCAGGTTATGTCGAACAAAATTAAAAATACTTTTCTTAAAATTTTGTCTATTAAACTGATTTTCATGCTTTAACAAAAGAAATTCCTCTCGTTACAAACCTAAAAAATTCCGCCAAAAAATTTCGCTGCTAGATTAGGATTAGGAAGAGCTTGTTAATGCGCAGAAGGTGGTTCATAGGTAAAATGATTTTTTGATTTGTCTTGTAACACCTGATATTAAAATCTGATTGGCCAGCGAAATTTTTTAGCCTGGATTGATATCATAATGTAATCGTCTATCGAATAAGAAGAGTTAGGGACGGGAATAAGGAAGAAAACGTCTGCATTGCCATCATAGGCAGAAGTTCGTCTGATTGGCTAATAAATTCAATTTAATTTTACATTATTTATACAGTTTAGAGTACTTTT